ACGGAAGCACAGAGAAAGGAAAAAATCAACTGCTTGAAAGACTTGGGCAAGACTTCACCGAGGAAATAAAATCTGAGCAGGTAGAGAGAGAAAGAGGACATTTTTCGTACATTCTGGGAGATGATAAATCATTTTCAACTTTCCTAAATACTGTAAATACTATACAAATTCTTAAAGAAAAATCTGTACCAAAAAGTACTAAGTGAATCACTCCACTGGCTGTAATAAAGGCACCAATAATCTGTTTTTTATTTGTAGAATAAAAATATAATTTTTATATGAAATCCTACTCTATAGTCTGTCTAATATAGTTGAATATCATTTTTACATATTTGCCTTTGGTCAGTTTTGACAAAACAATAAAAACACCACTCCATCTTTATTTCTCTTCTCTTGAGACCAATAGACAATTCTATTTTACAATATTTAATATATAAAGCATTCAGAAGTCAAAATGTGTGGCATTTTTCACCTTGCCAATTTCATGTTAAGTCAAGGGCCTGTTACCAGGCCAAGAAACCCAAATTTAGACAAAAGCAATCCATTGGGATCAGAAATTTGCCAAATCTCATAATTCAAAAAGAAACTGTTAAAGACGGTTGTGAGGTTTTGGCACTGTGATTTCAAGTCATTCCATAATAGGGTTTGTATTTCATCTAATCAGCAAATCGGAAACTATAAAAGTTTGGGTGGTGTGGGGGAATTAAAATTTGGATTGTAATATACAAGTCTTTCCTTCCCTTCCATATGTTTAAGTGAGTTAAAATTTCTAAATCCCGTTTTTTAAAATGCCTTATAAAAAATAAAGCAGCCTGTAAAATCATATTTTTGGTACAGGAAACTTAAAATATTAAGGCTTGAAAAGAAGAACTTGGAAAAAAAGAATATACCGTTTGTACAGCCAAAGTAGTGTCAGACTCTAGGTATATTCAGAACTAAGTACATTTAAACTTTCAAATTTTTTTTCTAAGTGACCTTTTCCTCATTTTTGAAGATCAGGCATCTTATACTTGTATCAATATTTTTCAAAGGTGGTCATTTATCAATTTAATTAAAAATAATGCCAGTTGAAATCCTTAAGAACATCTCAAAGATAGTATTTGGGGCAAGTGATGTAGATTAATTATATTCTTAAGTGGAGCTATATGAATTATCATACTATCAAAATAATAAATGAAAATGGTTTTCATAAGTTAAAACAATTTTTTCTGATTAAACTCAATATATTATAACCTCTAAATGGTAGAAATAGCAACTTGTCCCCATAAACTTTAAGTAATGTTCTCTTTTTCCTTTCTCTATTTTTTTCTTTTGAGCCTTATATTGATTTCTTTCATAATTTCTTAATTTTATTTCCTTTTCCTTTTGTTTTTATATGGAAATATTTCTTCACCTTTATTCTCCTATCCTTCAAATGAAAATTGTTTTGATATCATAGTTTTATTTTAGTTATGTATTTATTTATTTTCAATTATGGCTTACATTCAATATTATCTTACTAGAGGCCTAGCCATTGTGGCGTCACGACCAAAGGCCTTTTATAATATAGATATTAGCTTCCAGTGTACAACATAGTGGTTAAACAATTATATACTTTACAACGTGATTGCCCCCCAATAATTCTACAACCCACTTAGCACCATACATAGTTATTATAATATTAGTGACTATATTCCCTATGCTTACTTTATATCCCCGTAACTATTTTGTAATTACCACTTTGTACTTCTTAATCATTTCATCTTTTTTACCAGCCCTTTCAGCTCCTCCCATCTGGCAATCATTAATTTATTCTTTGCATCTATGAGTCTGGTTCTGTTTTGTTTGTTTATTTAATTTATTTTGTTCTTTAGATCCCACACATAAGTGAAATCATACAGTATTTGTCTTTCTTTGTCTGACATATTTCACTTAGCATAATACCCTCTAGGTCCATCCATGTTGTTGCAAATGGTAAGATTTCATTCTTTATAATGGCCAAGTAACATTCCATTGTGTATTTATACCACAGCTCCTTCCTCCAATGGTCTATTGATGAGCACTTATGTTGTTTCTATATCTTGGCTATTGTAAATAATGCTGCAATAAACAGGGGTGCACATATCTTTTTCTATTAGTGTTTTTAAAAGCTCTTTCTCATTTTTCATTATTTATGCTTTAATGGCATCCTGCTTCATGAAATACTTCACTGCCATTTCTTTCTAACAATTTAAGAAATGTTTTTTCTTCTCTTTCTTTCAGTCCTCCTAATAGTTTGTATCAGTTCCAATCTTTTACATTTGAGGCTTTTATATTATGATTTGTGATCTGTGGTTGTGCATATATAAATGTTTTTTAAATCCTCACCTGATACCATGATTTTTAGTGACTTGAGAGATAGAGAAAGACACAGAGAGAGAGCAAGAGAGACAAAGAGAGAGAGAGAGAAACATCAATGTATGAGACAAACATTGCCATCTGCCTTCCCTATTCTCTCCCTCCCCCTACGAGGGATCGAACTTGCCACCTAGGTATATGCTTTGACCGGAAATCAAACCCACACACAGCCTTGTGGTGTATGGACAATTGTCCAACCAACTGAGCCATCTGGCAGGGCATCCGCCCATTGATATTTAGCAGTAAGTTAAATAAAAGCTGAATGATGTTCCTTAGGCACAGATGTGCTTGCTTCCTAGACTAGACAGATTCACTTCTGTGTGTCTGTTTTAGGAACTATCATTTCTAGGGCCTCTCCAAAAGTAGGTATGTGGAAATGGTTTTTTTACAATGATCAGTTTCTCCAGAAAAGAATTCAACAATTTCTTGGGAGATGGGATGTGTGTGGGGTGGTGAGGTGGGGTAGCTGGTGGAGTATACAATCAGTGCTGTTGGTGTTCTGCATGTGGCAGGGAGGGTACTGATGATCGAGTATCCGCTGGAAGACATTCACTCAATCTTCTTTTCAGTCCCTTTCATTCCACTTTCAATTGTGCAGCTGTTGCTGAGAACTGACCTCTATTACTCAACAGCTCCGCCACCGCGAGCCTCCTTCCCCTTGCCGTACCAGTGAAGTGCCTGGTTGGGGCATGTGTACATGGGGGAGAGGTCTGGCTGCTCCATACGTTATAGCTGATTACCTCGTTTTATGCTCTTTAACTCTCATCTAAGCTGGTTGCCTCAAAATCTTGAGTGGTCTCCCCAGGTTTCTTTCTGAGTATGTAATATATCTTTTCATTGTTATTGCATCCCAAAGCCAGCTCTGAGAAAGCAGTTGTAATATTTCCTTCCACTTTCTGACTTCCAAAATAATTTAACTATCATCTCTTCTCTCACTCTGATCTTTCTCATGAGATTATTCTTTTTCAATTTTTTACTCAGTAAAAGTTTATTCTAATTTACCAACATAATAACCATTACTTTGTTTACCATTCTTTCCATACCTCACTAAATAACTCTTCCTAGATTTAATTGTTTTTTTGAAGGACATCCATAATTTATTTGGCAAAAGCTTTCAGTGGGATGATTTTTTATTTAATTTCTTGGCCTAAAAATTCCCTGATTATGCAAATGAAGTAAATTCAAAACCCAAAGCCTGGTAGGAAAAGGACTTAGGATAAACTCCCAGCAGAGGCTTCCTTCATTCTCCATTCAGATCCCATGCTGAGACAGGCTACTTTCTTGTATCAGTATGCAATCTTAGTCTGTATTATCCTTTCACTAAGAATATAAATTTATCTGCTTTATTAGGCATCTAATTCCTATCCTTCCACCCAATCTGGAGCTTGGTCTTATTCCAGTAAGAACAAAAACAAACAAACAAAATACCTCTTCCCTTCCCACAGGTTGTCACAGCCGTAAACTATCCCAAATCAGCTACAGGATAGTCTGCTGTTTACTGTTCTGGTGTTTAGTTCTTTCATTTCTAGCTACAGGAAAATTCTCTTACTGCTTTTTGAGCTCAGCTATGCATTAAGAGGATATGTGTTATATTTTATTTAGCATTCTAGACTGTTTTAGTGAGATGTTTTCTGGTTACTTAGTCTGCCCATATAATTTCTCTAATAGCATTTTAGTGATATCTTAGAATAGATACATTTTAAGTGTTTAATCTAGCATCTTCTGTGAGAAAGTAAATGCTATTACTTTTAAATAATTATAAGATACATTTCTATGCACTCACTTAGGAATCATTTTCCTGACCTTTTGCTCTGTGTTCCTTATATTCATTTATTTTTATTAATATTGGAGAAAGATCAGGTGATGTAACTAAAGCAGGATAGGTAATAGATTCAGATTAGGATTGAAGGCTAGTTCTATTGAGTAGCTGGATGAGCTCAGAAACTTCACATATTTTGGACAATCATCTATTGTATCAAATAAAAATACTAATAATACTTTGAAACACATGAAATTTTGACATTTGTAGTAATAAGAGTAGAATGTCAGCAATTTCTTGTGCTTCAAACTGACACCACTTTTATGCAACTTGGCCTCTAAGAGTGCTTGTCACATAATGAGTGGCCAAATGGTGGCTCCACTTCTTTTATAATAATTTCAGTTAGAAGAAATTCCAGGTGATACTGATCCACACACACACACCAGTTTGCCTATTTTAAAAGAATTAGACTTAGTTTAACATTACTGCCAGTTTGGGGTTAATATTGGCTTGTAGAACTAAAGTCACATAATAACATAATCTTTGCACAAATATTGTTATTTTGACAATTCATTATGTAACCACAAATTGGGGATTCTCCAATTATATGTTTTCATTAAGTTACATCAGGGATCATGACATGTCAAATTTTATATAAAGCAAACCCCACAGTCAAAGAAATACTTTTTTCCACATTTTCTATATAGGGTTCTAACTTAGTGTTGCTATCATTATGAGTCAACTGGCTAAGAACCAGCACCTCAAACCACATCCAGCTCAGTCTGCATGGAGAAAACAATTTCTAAAGGGTGAGGAAGGTAGGTACTCACCGTTAGAGTAAAAGTATATAATGTATAACTCATGCTAGGTTATTGGATCTCTGTGCTTCCATATACCAGTGCTCTGCCTCCGGGAGTTTGCTTAACCGCATGTATGCTTCACCTGGAAAATGAAGCGTGAAAATCAATCTGAGGAGACAGCTCTCCCAAGAGCCTTTGCAGCAGCATCGCATCACCATGCTTATACCCCGTGACATTTCCAGTACTTTCATCTGCTATCTCATTTTATTCGCTACAAGTCGTCATCATTCCATTTTACAGAAGAGAAAACATGTTTGGAGAAATTAAGTGAAATGGCTAAAATAAAAAGTTTACTAAGTGGTAAAACTTTAATTTTTAATCTAGGAACATCTGATTCCCAAGTATATGTGCATTTGTGTGTGTGTGTGTGTGTGTGTGTGTGTTTCGTAAAATAAGTGTTTTTTCTTATGTATAATCATTTGCTTTTTTAATTCATATTCATTCATTCCTTTAGAAACATCAGCATTTATAATATAACTATTAAGTGAAGAGTGTTATGCAGGATCCAGAAGAGAGAAGTTTAGGGTCCTACCCTCTAAGGTTTACAGCCGCATTGAGAAAGTTAGATTAAATGAAGGAATGACAAACTCATGATTATGCATTAATGCTAGATTTTTTCAGAATTATTTGCACTTTATATTTTAATAAGTCAACAAACTTTACCACTTTCATTTTTAAATCTAATAAATATATGACAAATTATTTATCATGCCCAGCACCAACTCTAAAGCTAGTCTGAGGCCTTTGAGGCATCTGTTATTACTTTCAGTTTATATAAATTTTACCTACTTAATAACATTTTACTAATAGCTAAGTAAGAGGAAAATAATTGGAAATAATGCCAAAAGTGTAGCAGTTGCTCTATATGATTGTGGAAAACAATCACCCAATGGAAAAATTATATTTTAAGATAACTTATGTATTTAAGTTAAATATTGTAGCTTTAATAAGCACTGCAAATGTAGAAGCTATTCAGTTTCTGAGACCAAGCAATAGACTGGTAACCTGCATTATTTTTCAAGCAGACTTTTACAGCTTAACTAATCATCATTATGATAGCTTTTTCCATTTAGACTCAAAATCAGTTGTTTTTTCTACATGTATTACCTACATTGATTGTATATCCTTATCTCAAGGATGAGCTAGCTTCCTTTTATTTTAACCATATTCTCCTTCGATCAGTACAGCATTGTCAATACTAATATGTTTGATGAATTGAATTAATTTGAGTCTCCTGACCTTTTGAGTGCCCCTGGCTCAACTGGTCAGTAAAAAATATTGGTGAAAAGTATATGTATGTATCTACTTACATACATCTATGTGTTTCTAGTTCTGAGAATAGTCCTTAAATTATACTACCATGAAACTAATAGCTAGAAAACGTTTTGTATTGTTTTACTAAACCTAAAACGTGTTCGCACTTTAAAAGAATTTGATTAGATTCAATCTCATGCTTGGGGTGAGATGCAAGAACCACTGAAGTAAAGGCCGAAGACTGCAATGAAATACACAAAATGCTCACAGTTGTTAGACTGGTACGATTAGGAATAAATTTTTTAATTTTCTGTAATAACTATATCGTTTTTTGTTACAGTATCTTTATAAAAACTGAAATGCTGTCAAAGCTATATTTTATTTTTTTGCCACGACAAACTAACAAATGTTCATTAATAAAGAAAATAGTAATTTTTCTTAGGAAAAGTGAACTGCTCTTCACATTAAAACTATTCTAGATATAATTTATATAACAGGAAGGATGTACAATCTCTAAAGTACTGAAATTTTTAAAGCAATTAATGGTAAATTGTATTCAAATATTTATCTCTAAAATGTATTCTAAAGCCAGCAGAAAACATACTAACATCACAGTTACAGCTGAAAATGGGCCTGTTTGCAGGTTGTTTGGAATCAACCTGAAATTCTACTTTGGATCTTCAAGTGTTCATGTCACTTTTTAGAAGTTGTACAATCATTGCATTTAATATAGTTTCTACTTTTTATTTATAAAAATTCCAATTAATTTGTAGAATAATAACAGTAGGTTGTCTGTCTAGTAAAAGAATGCAAGAGAACCACAAGGCCATAGAGCTTGATATTTAAATATCTATGTTTAAGTTGATGGTGTCTGAAAATCACTTCAGACAGCGTACTTTCTTTCTAAATCAGAAATCTATCATTATTAAAACCTACTTTTGAAATGAAATATTATTAATTTACTAAATAATCATGGCTGGCCCATTGTCTTCAGTAAAAACTCATAAGCAATTATTAGTTTGTAAAGCTTGTGACATTGAGAAATATCAAAGGACTAGAAATAGAAAATATCATCTAATAATGCATCTTGGAAAATACATGAAAAATGTACATAGCCAACCTAGTTGGGTATTATTCATTACAACTTAGAAAATTTTTATAAAACCGCTCATTATATTTCAGTAATAAAAATGATTTCAATGACAATAATTCACTGAAGTTTACTATGAATCAGAATAGCAAGCTGGGGGATGGGTAGATGTCTGATTGATGTGTTCCCATGCCTCACATTCTGCATCTTCGGGCATGCAAAACGTTTTCTCATTTCCCTCAAGAAGCCTTAACTAATTACCACCATTCAGTAACTACCAACTATTCAGTAGGTTTGTAAAATGAAACGTTTTCAGTCTATTAGTTGCTTTATATATGCATCTCATTTGTTATTAAGAAATGTCATTACCTGGATTTTACAGACGAGGAAAGTGAGCAGCATAGTGGCTAAATAAAACACAAAGGCTCATAAATGTAGAAACTATAAAGCTGCGATTCAGCCCAGGCCTGTCTGGCCTCAGAGCACACTGCTTCACCCAGCAGCCGCAGACTAATCACATACTTTCCGCCGCTCTGGTTCAGGTGAAAATTACACTCGCTTTCTTACTCCAAGAAAATTGTTTTCTAGTCTGTGACAATTTGCCATGGAGTTTATTTCACTTTGCCTTGGGCTTATCTCTTGAATTAAAGGAATAAGGAAGAGCAATAATAATCCATGGATGACCTTTAAAAAGGCTGCTGCCGCAGACGTTACTCAATTCTTAAGGGGGAAATATTTAGCATCTAAGATGCACTTTAGTTCTAAGGGGAACTTCAACACAAAAACAGTCCATAAAAGTGGTAATAAAATCAAGATGCAAAACCTAAAATGCAAGAAAATGGTCATATATCAATTTAAATGTGTTTTAATGGTAACTCAATAAAGATTTAAGCAATAAACAAGTACTGACAAGGTGGGGGCTTCATATTTCTCATTTCTAATTCACAGAAGGAGTTAGAATACTCATTTTATGGATGAGAAGGAGGCTCAGGTATGATAAGTGACTTGCAGGAGGACAAGTAGAAATCGCATCCAAAAAGGTTTGAATGGCCCTACAGCCCATGTTTTTTTCCATTGCAGCAAGCTGCCTACCAAATAAAATTTATTATTTATTGACTACCTACTAAGGTCTTTAATATGTCATCTCATATTTTTACAGTATGCGTACACTGCAATTAGTATCTGTCTCATTTTACAAATGAAGTGACTGCTGCTCACTGAGATTAAGCAACTTGATTCTACTAATCCATGAACATAGTATGTTCTTCCATCTATTTATGTCTTCCTCCATCTCTTTTTTTCAGTGTCATGTAGTTTTCCGCGTATAGGTCTTTTACCTCCTTAGTTATTTATTCCTAGGTATCTTAATTTTTTTGGTGCAATGGTAAATGGGATTGCTTTTTTAGTCTCTCTTTCTGTAAGTTCACTATTGGGGTATAGAAATGCCATAGATTTCGTGGTGTTAATTTTGTATCCTGCTACATTGCCAAATTCATGTATTAAGTCTAATAGTTTTTTGATGGAGTCTTTAGGGTTTTTTATGTACAATATCATGTCATCTGCGAATAAGGACAGTTTTACCTCTTCTTTTCCAATTTGGATGCCTTTTATTTCTTCTTCTTGTCTAATTGCAATGGCTAATATTTCCAGTACTATGTCATACAGGAGTGTGAGAGTGGGCACCAGCCACTGTGGAGAACAGTATGGAGTTTCCTCAAAAAACTAATAATGGAACTCCCATTTGACCCAGGGATCCCACTTCTAGAAATATATCTCAAGAAACTATAAACACCAGTTAAAAAGGATATTTGCACCCCTATGTTCATAGCAGCACAAGTCACCATAGCTAAGATTTGAAAACAGCCTAAGTGCCCATCAGCATATGAGTGGATTAAAAAACTGGTACATCTACACAATGGAATACTATGCTGCAGTAAAAAAGGAGTTCTTACCATTTGTAACAGCATGGATGGAACTGGAGAGCATTATGCTAAGTGAAATAAGCCAGTCAGAGAAAGATAAATACCACATGATCTCACTCATTTATGGAATATAATGAATATAAACTGATGAACAAAAACAGATCCAGAGACAGAGAAACATCAATCAGACCGTCAAACCTTAGAGGGAAGGGGAGGTGGGGATAAAGGGGAGATATCAATCAAAGGACTTGTATGCATGCACTTAAGCCTAACCAATGGACACAGACAACAGGGGGTGAGGGCATGAGTGGGGAGGATGAGGGTAATGGGGGGATAAGGACACATATGTAATACCTTAACCAATAAAAAAAATTAAAAAAAAAAGAAAGAAAAAGAGATTAAGCAACTTGCTCAGTATTCAAAAACAAGCAAATGCCAGAGTCAGGATTCAAATCAGAGTTCTCCCCGACTCTTTCCACTATATCATTCTGTCTAAATACTATGAACAATCATTAGAGAGTGCAAAAAGTGCTGTCAGTGGATTCAGTTTTAGGAGAGAATGACACATGTAATACTTTAAGCTTGATCAAAATGATAAAAAATTCCATGAAAGAAGTGGCCACAGGAAAAGAAAGTTCAGCAAATTTAATAAGTAAGGAAATGAAGATACTTGGTTGGGAATGGGTATAGGGAGGGTGTTAAGTCAAGTCATCTTCTCTGGTACTGTAATTCTTAACTTACAATTACAGAAAAACAAACAAACACATTTATAGTCCCCAAGAGGGGAAAATAAAAAGCAATGATGATTATTTTTCC